AAAGGGAGTTTTTCCTTCCCACTGTCACCAAGAACTTGCTCATAGGGGGTCATATGATTGTTGGGTTTTCTCTGTATTACTGTCAGGCCTTTACCTCATGGTGACTGCTGTTGTTAGGATATGTATAAAGAGCATTGAATGAAACTGAAAAAGTTTATTACAAGCATTAAATGTTAAATATTTGTAACTATTTTAGAAGCAGACACTTGTTTGGCTTCATGTTCGTTTCCATGGAGTCAAAGCAGCTCAAGACTGACTGACAAACATGCTGAAAGGATGTCTGCAAGTCATTCGCCTCGACCTCCACCATTGCGTTTGAGTCATGCATGCAAAGTGGCTTGTCCTCGCCAGCAGTCGAGATGAAGCGGTAACGGCACATCGCACATCATTTGCTTGTGCGACTGGCCGTAGACGGGAATTAAACACCTCGCTCCCCTCCAGCGTTGGCTCCTCTGCAACTCTGCTGTCTCTCTCCTGGTTTGGCTCAATCAGACTCTTTATCCAAAGTGCACAAAATTAGCAGAGAAACAGCCATTTATGAGAACAGACGACTGTCTGTGAGGGACACGATGGAGTTTAGAAGTGCTGCATGCCCGGCCTCTATCCGCATGGTTACCATGATACCATGGTGATGACAAATAGGTGAGAAAAGCAATCCAAACCAGAGAAAAGAGATCACACCAGAGTAAAATTAGCTCAGTTGGACAAAAAGAAGAAAAGCAGTGAGTGTATTTAAGGGCTAATAATTATGGGAAATATCATTCGTGTGATTCTACGTAGAACGTTAGAGCGATGGATCTGTGTGCAGCTTAAAAGTGTTCAAAGTGTGTGCTAATGACCTCGTTATAGTCCAGTGAAGAATCATTGCACATCGAGCACACGGTGGCCAACTCCACAAGTCCATCATAGTCTCCACACTGGACCGGCTTGTTGTCTTTGAGTCTGAAAGAACAACACACACATGAAACGTCACACTTCACCGCACACAATCATGAATGGGGTTCACGTCCCACAGCTGATGGAGAAAAGTGCTCGGACGGCAGTAAGGAGTGTATCTGAGTATGTGTGCTCATTGCATGACAACCATGGATCTCTTCCCAGTGGAGACTGCAACCGTTGCTAGCGAAGCTCCCACACAGTAACCCACACTCTGCTGTTATGAAACCGTGGGTTCATCCACAGTCAGAGCGATGCAGTCAGCAAACGGCAAAACAAACAGCGTGTATACACACAATGAAGTGCAACACCCTGTCTGCTGAATGCTCGTGCTCAGAGACCACCTGCCTTCACCGCTGCACAGTTTACATCTCTGAGATTCAAAAGTGTCACAGGTCAAAAATTCAGTTTGTCCAAGTTTGCATTAACAATAGAAATCATTAAGGTGCTTAATGGGAGTAAAGTACAACTGAGACGTATGGGTCATATATAATTAAAGCCACACGTGCTGTAACACAACCAACTGGGACTGCTGCTGTTTTTATGCTGCACCAACTGAAGCAAAGCTACTCAAACTATTCCTGCAAACTGACGGTGCATCAAATCTCAGAGCAGATTTATTGCATTTAGAAAGGAGGAGCTGGGAGAGGAGAGAGAGCGGCTTTAACTTGTTTTTCATTCAGTGTAGAATCTGCTGGTAAAAAAGGAAAAATCTGCTTAACAGCAAACATTTTCCATGTAATGAGTTATTGAAGCACGCGGGCAAAACAAGTAATAAATCCAGAATGGTGGTACTCACATTTGTCCCTCAGGGGCATACGTAGAACCAGTTATGGAGAACTCGTGCAGGCTGCAGCTGGAGTCCTCCACCTTGTCTAGGATGAACATCTGGAGAGAAAAAGACCAAAGCAAACAGAGGTGGGACCTTTAGCCAGTTACAACTGTGGCTCGTTTTGCAGCTGTCCGCTGCTGTAAATATAATGACGACTCAAATTGTGTGAGTCGGCCCGACTTTGGAGCAGTAAAAAAATATTATTTCATATTTTCAGTAGCAGATTGGATCCATGACGAGGTCCTGTGACCAAGAGAAACCGGCTGGCGATTATCGTAAGAACTGAGTGAACTAAGTCAAACAGCTAAAATAACGAACACGTGACTTAATGTGAATAACAAACAAACACTGAAAGCACAAAATAGTCACACTCCTGCTTTTTGCTCCTTTTTAAGGAAACTTTCAGTTGCATCACAATCAAGAAACGTAGCTGAACTGTAATTGGTCGGCTGTGGCTCAGGTGATCCCTGACTCTTACTGAAGTTTGAG